CCCGCCAAAACAACAACAACAACAACAAAACTCACTCATTGCTGACTTAGGGACCGTGTGGGTTTCTGAGCCTATAACTGTTTAGGGAAGTAGAAAGCCCAATCTCTCTTCCACGGAGCAGCTGGTGGTTTCAAACTTCCGACCATGCCAATTGTAGTCCAACTCGTAACCATTACACCACCAGGGATCCTCAGACCTACAGAGTGAGGATCAATTTGACAGCAGCAGACTAACGCAGGTTAACACTTGAACCCATTTGTTTTCTTCTCCTCACAAGGCAGAAATGAGAATTTGAGGCAACACAAAGGAAGATGCTATAAATGTAAGCAACTCTTTAAAGGAAAGATCTAAATCCAAGAGAAGGCAAGCCTGAGGGAGGCAAACTTGACCCCACAAGAAGGAGTGAAAGCTCTGTTCTCCTCCTAGACCAGAGTGGACACTGGAGGATAGGCCCATCCCTCAGTGTGAACCACTGGGATCAATGCCCTGTGTCCTACACTTGAGACAGGAGTACCACTAGAGTCTCCAAAATCCAGTGGAGGTTCAACAGTGAAAGGAATTTATTCTCACGAATGAGGAGACCTTCTGATGCTCTGAGTGAGGTGTCGGACGGCTAACTGCAGTTCACACGCATCAGTTGCTCTGCAGAAGACAGTTGGCATTGTGCCTGTTAAGATCACAGCCTTGGAAGGTCTGTGGAGTCGTGCTATGAATCGAAACCCACCCGAGTGCACTGGGTCTGGTTTGGGAATTCAACATTAGGGTGCAATGGTAGTTTAACAAAAGAAGTCTCTTCTTCCCATGCATGAAGCCTGGGTTTAATTCCCAGTCCATGCACTTCATGTGGAGCTATGTTAGTCTGTCAGTGGAAACTTGCGTGTTGCTACAATGATAAACAGGTTGGGGTGGGGGAGGGGGGAATGGCCTGGGAGCCACCACTGACCTCCTCCAGCTTTTGTAGGAAGGAGACTCTAACTCCACATCAGCCCAAGGCCAGTTGACAGAAGGCATACTCTGGTGTCAACTTAAAGATTAGGAGTGAAGGGGTGGAGTCTAGCCTGTCAATCAAGATATAACCAAGGAGGCCTCTGTGTGGGCATGGCCTTCCCCTGAGAATTCTGGGAACTCCTATATTTCCTCCTTGGAGGCAGGAGACACTTCTCTCTACTGACAATGCTCACTCCCTAGGAGACTCTCTCCGCCCACTCCCTGAGAGAAGCTCTACTGATAAGACACATGGTACTATGGCCTGGGAGCTGGAGAAGCCACATGGACCTACCCTGATGCAACTAGACCTCTTGAGCTGAAGGAAGAGGCCACGCAGAGACCCCTGCCAGTGCTGAGATGCTTACAATGCCATTGGATCCACAACACTTCCAACCCACTGGCCTGTGATCCTGCAGTCAGCATCATTATATGTATTTTGTGAGTCTGGAGAAAACTTTATAGATTGGTATCAGACATATGGGCTAATATTGGACTTATGGACTTGATCTAGATTGGGCTGGGACATTTTCTCAATATTCAATTGCTCTTGTATATAAACCTTTCTTATATTCATATGCATGTTTATGAATTTGTTTCTCTAGTCTACCCAGATTAACACAGCATGCCTTCTACCCTCCACCCTTTATTCTACCATCACCCATTCCTCCCATAGTACTCTACGTCTCTGTTGTTTGCTACCATTGCAATGGCCACAAGAAACTCAGACCCTCAAATACTGTATGCAGGTTTATTAGAGAAGCTATTGAGTTACAGATCGGTAAGGATAGCGGTCTTCTGTCGGCAGCACCTCTTCACAGCTATGCTGGCAGTCACATCTCTGATTCTCGGCCTCTCAAGCATGTGATGTTGTCCCTTGGCCTCTGCCTTTGTGAACCAAGAAGCCAGTTTGCCACTCTGCCTTACAGTTCCAGTGCTGTTCCTCTGCTCTGTCTCATGGTCTCGGTGCTGTGGCCTCCAGTGCCTCTTCTGCCTCCACTATTTCAGACAGGAAGGTATTTTGCAGATGCTCCACAGGTGGTCCTTGTTTCATGATGGTCATGGGAATCGCTCTCCTGCTTCTGAGACAGCTCTCTTTTGCCCAGAAGCATAGCAGCAGACTGATCCCCTCTGAGTGTTTCACATACACTATTTGCACAGGCCCACCCAATCATTCAATGGGAGTTGCAAAGATATGGATTGAGTAGTCCTGTCTAAGCAATTTTACTTCATCACAGTAAGTTTCAGTGGAGCCTTGTTTTGTTGAGTTATGCATGGGACCAACCTCAGTCAACTAACAACACATTAACATTGGTCATTAACTTTACTAGTAATCAACCAGGCCAGGGAAAGGTCTGGTCATATGGAAATTCAAGTTGAAACTGAAGAAAATAAAACAAGTCCACAAGAGCTGGTACATACAGTGAGGACGTTCAAGCCCCTCCACTCCTTGGTTCTTGTCCTGCTTACAGGAAAGATTTCAGGCAAGGGACAACATTCAGACAAGAGTCAGAGAAAAAGTTTAAGCAGCCAGAGTGAGTTTACTGAAGGGAGATACTTTGGAAAAGAAGTCCAAAGGGCCCTTAGCTTGTCTAAATGTCCAAGAAAACATGCTAGACCTTGCTTAGGCTCATGGTGGACGTTGCACCAAAGGCTGGCCTTCTGATGGGTCTTCTGCTCTTGGCTGGTGTCCCTTCTCCTTCCAGGGACACGCATCGCAGCCTTCAAGCGGTGTCCATGTCTATTCAGTCATTGTGGCGGTAGCTTGAATATCTTGTCTCTCCCCAGCCAACCTTTTCATGACCTGTGCTCTCTATTGATAGGGAAATGTGTCCCTTCTGCCCTTTACCTTCCTCTGAGCTGCAGAGGGCGTGAGGAAGCATGTCTCCATTGCTTGTGCTTCAGATTCCTGCCAGCTGCTCTCCACCCCTTCTACCCTGGCCGTTTTCTGACTCGCTGACATCCCTCCCTCCTAAGTGAAACGATCTAAATTCTTTTGGCAGTTGAGGGGTGAAGAGCATCCTTCTATAACTACTTCCTGCTGAACATGGATGTAAGGCGGAACGGATTTGGATGGCATGGCTTTGATTCCCAGTCTGGGCGGGGCATGTGGGGCGGGGGGGAAGCACCTGTGTGCAATCTGGTAGCAGCTTGACCAAGGGAGCTGGGCTTCATGTTGTAAGAGTTCTCAAGTGGGTAATACCTCGGTTCTTGGCTTCGCATGAGAAAGAAATTCATGTCGAAGCCCGTTTGTAATCCAAGTGAATTTTTATGCAAGATGGGAAGTTTCAGGTTTTACGGTCTCAAAAGGGTACACACTATTTCAGGGAAACGTGCCAAGCCGCGAGGAAGCTGTGCTGGGGCTCACAACTGGTCACGCGCAGCCTCGTGGAACAGCACGCCCACACGTGTGGAACTGAGGCCAGAGAGGGCACTGGGGGAAGAGCGTAAGAGAAAAGAGACTATGGCCCTGAGTAGGCCCAGGGGAGGGGGACCTCCCCCTCCGACTCCTTCTGACCAGTTGCAGGGTAAAAAGAGAAGCGCTTCCCACCATCAGGGTATTTCAAACCCATTGGCTGTGTTGAGTCCACCTGGATGATGTCATGAGTGTGGGCCTAGTTTGGACCACCCAGGTGTATTGGAGCATGCCCAGTTAGGGTGTCCTCATCGGTGCTTAATGCTCACCTGATTTCCTTCCCAAGCTCCTGTAGGGGGCCTGTGCAGGCATGGAAGGGACAGCCCCCTGTCCCGGATCTAGCTACCTAACAGCATGATCATCTGTAGCCTGACAGATTCTAGTCTGGAAGAGACCAAGTGAACAAGGGCATTGAAAACACAAATGTGATCCAGGAATGGGTTTTTGGCTTGCACTAAATACTAGCTCCAACTTTAGCACAATTGCTTCTTACAGCACAGCCCTGCTCGATACTCGCCCTCGGCAAGGGAACAGAGAAGAGATAGGTACTATAGCAAAATGTGGTGAATTAATTAGATGGTTCCTGGGCTATCAGAT